AGAAGAGGGACCCAGCAGGAAGCATAAGACTCACAGTATCCATCTGCCGCGCAGACACCTCCTCGTGCTGGGGCAGCCAGGGTCTCCAGAGAGGCAGGGCTCTGGAGGAGAGCAGGCTCAGCACGACCACGCGCCCACAGCCCCCCATGCCCATTGCCCCAAGGTCTCCCTCACACCACGACCACAGCTGCCGGTGCCCAATGCCCCAAGGTCTCCCTTACACCACGACCACAGCCCCCCCATGCCCATTGCCCCGAGTTCTCCCCACATACCATGACCGCAGCCCCCTGTGGCCATTGCCCAGAGGTCTCCCAGCACACCGCAACCTCAGTGTCTGCCATACCTTGCCTCTCGCTGCAGCTGCGGCGCCAGGACGGCTGCAGCCACACGGCGCTGGACAGTAGCTTCCATAGGGGCAGACAGAGGCAGTGGCAATGTCCCCTCCAAGGGCAGTGTCCCCTCTGAGGTCGCAGGTTTGTGCAAGAAGGCTTTTATAGCTCTGTCCGGGCTGGTAGTGACTCACAAACTCTTCAGGGCAGTGGTGGGGACATGAGGGGATGAGGGTGCTGAGGAAAGCGGTTCCCCAGGTGTGAAATTTGTCCCAGTTGTGTAAACAGAGGGGCTGGGGGAGGCTGGGAGCAGAGGGCTGCAGTCTGGTGGAAAAGCAAAACACAGAAGGGAAAAGTTGGACACCATTTGTGAGAAAATCCCCAGGGGGGAGCAGGGGAGGGCAGAGACAATTAACGAGGATGATTAAGTGCTCTTGGTAGCCATTTACATAAGGCAGGGGGGATGGGGACGGGACGTGGGAGTGCTGGGGCAGCAGGATGGGCACGCGGGGAACCGTGGGGGCAGCAATAGGACAGCACGAAGGACAGCAACAGGACGGCATGATGGGCAGCGCTGGGACAGTGGAGGCGAGACAGAGCAGGACGCACGGTGGTTATTGGAGGGCAGAACAGCGAGCAAACGATGGATTTTCTCTGCTGAATCCATACAAAACAAAACGCACCAAGCTGGCTTGGCCAGGAACTAGTGTAGGACACCCCCAGTACCGAGTGTCCCCTTGCCCAAGGCAGCAGGAGCTGGAGGTCCTGGGCACATTGCGCCCTTCTGCATTGCACCAGACAGCCCCAGCACCGGCACAGCCGGTCCCTCCTTGGGGCGCTGTGACGCTCACCCGTGGGTGTCCCGAAACGCACAGCACCCGCCCAGCGTCTCAGGCAGCTGGGAAGCGCTCGGCACAAGTGGCAGAGGCCTCTACCACAACGTGGGCTTTTCACACCGCAATGTCCCAGCCCAAACTGGCCAGGCAACATCCAGTGCAGAGGAGAGGGTTTGAGGTGGCAGAGCGAATGTCCTCAAGATTAGACATTTGGCCAGGCCCTGAATGGCGGGTTGGGACCTTGGTTCCGGACAGTGCTCCCCTCTCACCATGCAGAGAACGTTGGGCTGTGTCGGGTAGCATGGCACGCGCCAGCGCCATGGGGGGGCTGCGCGCGGTGCGGGGGCCAGGGCGCTGGAGCACCCACACCCAGCGGTTCTGCAGGCGGGGAGCGGGAGGGCCCGGCGCCCCGCAAACCCCCTGCCGCTGCACCGCACCGGGAGGCAGCGAAAAGAGGCTCCCCCCTAGCCCAGCCCGGTCAGCAACTCCCGGAGCTGGGGGTGCTGCAGGCACCTCCCGCTGCCCAGAGCGAGGGGCCACCAGTTTGGGACAGGAAAGGCAGGAAAGTAGCAAATGGTCGCTGCAGAAGCCGCGCTGTGAGCGTCTCCTGTCCAAACGCAGGCCAGGCTGCCTCGGCTCCAAGCGCAATTTGTTGGCAGGGGGCCCGCCCGCCCCTCTCCCCCCGCGGCCGGGCGCCGGAGGGGGCCTGGCGTGAGCCCGGCCCTCATTACCGTCCCCATTTGCTCCTCATTTGGGCCAGGAGCCTTGCAATAACAAACCCTGCAGTGGGCAGGCGGCCCTGGGAGGCGTGTGCCGGAGCCTGGGATCGCCGTGCGGGCACGGAGCAGGGCAAGGAGCACAGCTGGAAGTGGGGCTGTCGACTCCCAGCTCCGCGCACCGGTCTTGCCGCAACCTCCTGCACCCCGGTCAGCCCCCACGCTGGGTCCAGGGCATGGTCGGCAGCAGCTCCCCATCCTCAGCTCTTGCCTGCACCAGCTTCTGTGCCTCTGTCCCCAGCCCTGCACAAACCCCCCAGCACCCCAGCCTGCACCTACTGCATAGGCCATACAAACGCGGGCGTCGCAGCTCCCCAATCCTCCCCAACCCCGAAAGGGTGTAGTTCTGCTCCACGATAAGCCCCTGATCCAGGCTGATTTGTGCATGGATTTTGCAAAGCCGCAGCCGCCAGTTCGCAGCCCTTTATCCCTCCGGGCCGGGCCCCTTGCACTGCCCCCGGAGGCAGTTTCCCCTGGTCCCGTAGGACCCATGTCCGCAGTCCGAGCGCCCCGTGGCCACGCACAGCCCAGCTCCCCGTCTCTGCCCGCTGCCGTAAGTAGCGCACAGCCCTGCGCGCTTCCTGCACACGCGCCCCCGTAGCAGCACTCACAGGATGGGGCAGGAGGGCCCAGGTCCTGGCTAGAGGGGAAAAAGCGTTGGGGAATTTTGGTGCCAAATGATTGAGGAGCCGAAGCAGGGGAAGGGCCGGGTGCTGCACCTCAACTGGGAGCTTTCCCAGGAGCGAGGTCATCAGCCCGGTGGTATCAGCGTTAACCCCGTCCGGTTTCGCAAGACGCCGTGGGATGGGAGATTTTCAAACAAGGTGAAGGGAAAAACAAACCTCCCTGTTTGGCAGCGCACGCCAAAGCCCAGGGCATGCAGAGGCAGCAGCACCCAGGCGCGTAGAGGAGGGAGCGGCCACATAGTGCCCGTGAGCTGAGCCCATCGTGTGCCAAGAGCAGGTCAACAAGCCCCATGTCACCCCGCTTGGCCCGGCGCTCCGGGGAGGGAGCCCATGAGTCGCCCCAAGGCACCATAGCAAGCGCCTGGCGCTGACATAACTGTCCTCCATGAAGCTGCAGGCTTTCCTGGGGACACGGCTGTCACTGCCACCTGCCTCCCCCCAGCACCATCCCCAGAGCACACGCGGGGCAGCGGCCACACTTCCCTCCCGGCCCGGC